TAAAATCAAATCTTCACCTTTTATTTTTTTCAATCCTGCGGCAAAATTTGTCCTCACAGTCTTCACTTAGTTTCAAGTCTTCACTCGATCCATATATATATATATATATATATATATATATATATATATATATATATATATATATATATATAAATATATATATATGCTTAAGTTATTTTGTTTTTACTACCTATTGTGTGCCAGAATGTACAAATCTGGACCACCGGATGGAATAGAATCAAAGATCGTGATCTAATGGTCTATGATATTAGAATAGGATAACATATATCATATAATCACACTAATTTCAGCATAAGGGCATTTTAATCAGTTAACCTATACTTTAAAAGAAAATTTCAGGATTTTTAGAGATAATTAACTCTTTTATTTTAAAAAATCAGAATATTTTAATTAACTCAAATTTAAAAATCCAATTTTATTATGTCAGAATGATAGAATTCCAACCATAAACTAGTAAATATATTTTTCGATATTATTTTGTCAGAATAAAAGAAAAGAAAGAGGTAGAAGGCAGAATAAGAAAGAGGTAGTTTATGGTTATGCTACATCTAGCAGAAAAGAAAGAGGTAGAAGGCAGAATAAGAAACAAGGACATACTAGACTTACCAAACGAGTAATTTGTCTTAGACCTTCCAGCCTTTCTTCTCTTCGATTGTCTTCTAGAACTCCGACTGGTAGCTCCGGCGAGTTTCCCGATCTCTCCCTCTCTTCTTGCAGGTTACTAAAGAAGGCCGCAAAAAAAGAAAGAGATGTGATAGGGTTGGAACGGAACAATATGCACGCCTATAAACGAGAACACAAATGACTAGGTCAAATATATTACTTTATTTCCTTAATTGCAATATTTAAATTAAATGATTTCCTTAATTAAAAGTACAAAATATCCAAAATATATTTTAATGATTTATTTAATGATTTATTATTTCTTGAATTCTCATTGGTGCATTTAAGCACACAATACTTGCTAGAAACATTTAAACGTCTCTCTCTCTCTCTCTCTCTCTATATATATATATATATATATATATATATATATATATATATATATATATATATATATATATATATATATATATATATATATATATATATATATATATATATATATATATATATATATATATATATATTAGAATATGGAGACGATCTAAGATGGCCACGGGCAAATTCGAGTTTTTCATCGTATGCTAACATTTTCACCAAAAGATTTCCTTCGTCACTCTTCGCCAACTTTTTGTCCAGTTTTGTCCGCTTGCTATCTACAGCTCACACTGCGGGGCGAATTTGACAATGTATTATTATATATGATAGTTTGTACTATGTATAGATAGGCCGATATTCATTCTTGTAGGTATTTAATATTTATATATGTACGCTTACGCTGTCTTTTGGATTTGGATGAATGAGATATGGAAAATATTCCACATTAGCATGATTACTTAATTTCTGTAAATATATATATGATAACAAAAATAAGAAATAAAGAACCTTAACCATATCGTCATATATATATATTTAGTAATACCAAAATCTCCTTAATTTCCTTTCATTATGATAGTCCTCCTTTTAAACCTATATGAATGGAACATAGCACACATCAAGGATTCCATTAACCCAACCGGCCTGTACCTTTCGCGTGAAAAACTAAGGCCATTTAACCTTTACACACATGGTGACCATTGTTTAGTTCATTACAAAGTAAGAGTCCTTTTGAAGAATAACTGTTCTATAAATTTAAGCCGAAATTTTCTATTCATTTCCACTTCTCCCTACACCCCTTCCCACCCTTTGCAAACATAAACATAATGGATAGAGATCAAGCAGAGATGCAAAGTGTAGGTTTCTTTGGCCTCTTCAAAGAATCTGTAAAAACCATCTTCTCATGGAAGAAAATCTTCGCTCAGATCACCGTAACTTTCATCCTACCACTCTCTTTCATTTTCCTGGCTCATATCATCATTGCTGACGTACTTAATCTGCGTATTGAGCGCTATGAAAATAGGGACAACCAGTACTACTATCATCGTAGGGTATCATCTGAATGGATCGGCTATTGGGTTTTCAAATTTGTCTATTTGACCTTCCTCTTCCTCTTTTCTCTCCTCTCAACTGCTGCAATCGTTTACACCATAGCCACCGTGTATACCGGAGGTGATGTGACATTCAAGAAAGTCATGAAAATTGTCCCTAGGGTTTGGAAGAGACTTGCTTTAACTTTCTTATGGACTTACTTCGGTTTTTTTATCTACAACGTTGTGTCGGGAGTAGTATTTCTCATCTGGGCAACCACCATTTCGGAAACCACGTTTGGTTCGATCCTGTTTTGGGTGTTGTTTTCTGTATACGCCATCGGGTTTATTTATATTACAGCGATATGGCAACTTGCTAGTGTGGTTACTGTTTTAGAAAGCTCGTATGGATTGAAAGCAATGATGAAAGGCAATAGTCTTATTAAAGGGAAGAGGTGGTTATCATGGTTTGTGTTCTTCGTGTTATATTGCATCTTTGCAGGGATCTTGATCTTGTTTTACGTGTTTGTATGGAACTTCACATTTTTAACGCTAATCGTGGGTGTAGTGTGCCTGTTTTTACTTATGAACATGTTTCTTCTTGGCTATGTCGCCCAAACGATGCTTTATCTTATTTGCAAATCGTATCATCGTGAACCCATCGATAAGGTAGGATTGTCGACACAACTTGGAGGTTATCTAAGCCAAGTCGAGCCTGTGTTCAAGGCCAACAAGGATGTTGAGCTAGGGCAGCCTCCTCATCAACCTCAAGTTTGATTGCTTTCTTTGGTCTCATGGTTTCCATCTGTTGATCTCGGTTTTCTTTTTCTGTTATGAACAGCAATGAAAAAGTTATTTGTCGGTGTTGAATTATCATCTTATATAAATTATATATAATGAATTTTAATTTCTAAAAGATTGTATTATATATGTGGTATATGTATGTACAAATTATATATGAATATACGGCATATATATATAACTCCTCTTTCATTTCTCTAATCCTGAAAATTAAAGACCCGGTGTCTTTGAAGGACTATATAGGCAGATTTTCTTATTAAGAAGTCACAACAATATGATCATTGCCATGGTATAGCGGAAAGACCCGAAGGGTGCCAATACAACAAAGAGAGATGAACTAATCAGTGTTTGTGGAATCAATACAACAAAGAAGTGCTTCAAACGGTGCCAAGAATCGGCTTAGTATTTCTTCACTATTGAAAGCTTATATGGGGAGGAAATGAGAGATGATAATTAAACCTAAAAATAAAATTGGAATCAACGTGATAGTCTATACACTTAAAAGTTAAAACTAGGAATATGTAATCAATTAGAAAATTCATCCAGCCTCTTAGTGGAAAGCTCGTTTGAATTTATTTAATAAACGAGCAAAAAATAGGTTTTTTCATTCATTTCCCTTCGTTAGCCTTCTGTATCAGTTCATTTACGCTAAAAAGTTATTTGGATGTAATGAAGTCAAACAATGAAACCTTTCAAGTTTGCAATTTAGAGATGAGACTCGATATAGACGATGATATATAGACTTTACTTTTGAAATGCTTCTAGACTTTGGGATGTTTTGAATTGTGGAACTTGTATATAACAATTTTGTTTACGTGCATTTCTTTGTTTGGATGTTTATATATGAGTATGTGGTTCATTTATATTTATTTATCTTCATTTAGCTTCTTAACGAATGAACATCACAACATAATCTTTAAACAAAAAAACACAAACAAAAAAGTTTGTTTATTTATGTGTTGGGAAAATGACTTAAAAGCCCAACGAAGTTTCCAAATCATTAAAAAAATCTCAATCATGTTTTATCTGTTCAAAAAACCCAACGAACTTAACTTTTTATCTAAAAAGTCCAACAAAGTTTCAAACCGTTCAAAAAATCCTAATTTTGTTTTGCTTAAGTTTGTTGGGTTTTTTTTGAACAGTCAAAACATGATTGAAGTTTTTTAAACGTTTTGGAAACTTCGTTGATGTAACAAATCATTTTCCCGATACGGTAATGAACACGTCATTTTTTCTCATATTTGACTTTCAGGAAAGTGTAACTTAGTTGGGCTTTTTAGATAAAATTTTAAGTTCGCTTGTAATCCTATTTAAAATCCCTAGACTAGGAATGTATCCACTTGGAACCTATAATTCTTCACCTTGACGAATATGCTAAGTCCACCCATACTTCCAAATCATAAATGTATTTCCATGTGACAAGTTAAACTCTTTACTCCCATTGCAATTGATAATGCATAAAAACTATCATTTTGATTTCATATACCAAATACAATAATTATTTCAACAAACAAAAGATGTTGAGTTTTACAGGTTGTGCACGGTCCACACACATCTCAAGGCTAAATGTGTGTGACAAGACTACCTCGATAAAAATGAGATCTATGTTGTTTTTAGGGTAAATTACACAGATGGTCCCTATGGTTTAGGGTAATCTGCATGTTTAATCCCTAAAAAAAAAATTTAACTCGGACCGTCCCTAAAATTTTAATTTTTTGCATATTTGGTCCCTGTTAACTTAAAAAGACAATTTTACCCTTATAATATTATTTTTAGAATTATTTTTTATTAACTGTTGTTTAAAAAAACTATTTAATAAAAATTCCATGTGGGTCCACCACCAAAACCCACTCCGTTTACGTCTCTCTCTCTCTTGGATGTTCGATCCAGTCCCTCACCCTTCTTGTCGGCTGCCTCACTCCTAACTCCTCCTTCCTCACCGCGACTTGCATCTCATCATTTATCCCTCCTTCATCTTCAACATCGAGTTGCATCTCCTTCCTCCCTTTCTACTGCCTCTCTCTTTCTTGCTCAAATATGACAGACGAAGCCTCGCCGACAGGATCCACAATTATCGGACCATCGGACGCCCTTAAACCCCTGGACCGGCGACCATTCCTAAATTCACCATCGTGAAATCAAAACCTTGGATCGTGGTTTCCAGTGACAATGTTGGAGAAAAGATCTCTCCGTTTATTACCGTCAGCAAGTGAAAGACCACCCACCAAAGTGCCTGCTTCAGTCCTCGTCCACCATCACTGGATCCTAGAATCCTTCACCGTCATCATCAATCTGGAGAAAGAAAAAGAAAATGAGAGAAGAAAGTAACCAGAGGCATCTAGGGTTCGGTGGTTGGAGCGTTGCTGCATCGTGAGAAAGAAAAGAGAATGAGATCTGAAACCCAGATGGCCTTGTAATGGTGGATTTCGTCGATTGGGTTCATCTGGTTCTAGCTTCTCTCCACTTCCCTCGTTTTCTCCTCTCTCATCTATTAACGAAACTAAATAGCAAAAATGTTTTTATGGGATTTTTTGGATTTGATGGCATAAGGTTTGAAGTCTAGAACATTGAATTCACCGATTGGATTGTAATTGATGTTTCATCAGATTCTGTGTGATGTTTTGTGATTTCTATTACATCAGATTTTCTTGTTTTGAATTCAGTTTCATCAGATATAGGTTTTGGTTGTGATTTTTTTTCTTCACAAAATTGATTAGTAGTTATGAGCTTGGTTATGGATCTTACAAGAAACACCTAAGGAGGTGAGCAAGCAGGAAGGTGGCTTTTTGGTCGGAAAAGGATGAAACAGAGTTATGGGTGGTTTGCCGGAGAAAACGAGGTTGTGGGTTGTTTACTGGAGAAGAAGAGGGTGGGGGTGGGGTGGGTAAAGTAGTAATAGGCTGGTGGGATCCATCAAATGTTAATATTTAATTAATATCCTTTTCACATTTAATTAATATTCATTGATAATTTAAAAAAATAAAAAAGAAATCAGCAAGGGTATATCAATCTTTTTAGAACTAATAGGGACCAAGCGTGCAACAAATATATAAATCAAGGACGGTCTGAGTTAGAAAAAGTTCTTAAGAACGAAACACGCAGATTACCCTAAACCATAGGGACCATCCGTGTAATTTACCCTTGTATTTAATTTTTGTAATTCAAATCCTTGAAATTTAGGCTTGTCTTCTTAAGCTAATAAAATAGTAGTTTGTATATCATTTGTTATTTTTTTATAATTTTTTATTTTCTTTCTCTCGCTCTCTAAAATTGACATATGTTTTTTTCTATGATTTTACATTTAAATTAAAAAATTTCTAAATCCCTTAAAATTAACATTATTTATTATTATTTTGAAATTTGAAATTCAAAATATTTGGTAATCAATAATTATTATTTTATTTGGATCAATAATTATAATTTTACATAAATATAAAATATAAATATCTTAATTGATAATTTATTGAAAAAAGTATATTATTAATTATGACTTTTTACTATAATTTTTTTTGTGACCGTGCTATTATCTAAATATCTTAATTAATAATTTATTGAAAAATAATTGATTAATAAATATGATTTTTTACTATAAAAATTTATATATTTTTGTAACCGTGATTTTCACGCGCTATAACCAAGTATTAATTATAAATATTATGACAACTACCGAAGAAAATAGTTAACCCGATATTGATGCACAATCGAACAAGATCATCAATAGGATCATATAAGAAATAAAAACAACTTTTTAAAAAAAAAAAAAATAACCATAACTATTTAAACATAATATAAATCAATACATCTCGCCAAGGCAACCAGACAACAACTTTATGAGGTTTAACTTTATGAGGTTGGATCGATTAGTTACTTTGATATGCACCTTAGTTGATGCAATGTTGACATAAGCTACGAGTCAATATATGGACACACATATGAAAGATTCGTAAGCAAGGATTGAGTGCTAGGTCAATAAACTAATCACCTCATTTATGTTTTGGGATCAATCAAATCATTAACTATTTGTCCTAATTGTATATTCTAAAATGACCTTGAGTCCTTGACAATACCATAAAGTTGTTATATTTATGTTATGCTCTTAAAAAATTGTCAAGAAACTAAAAGTGCAATAAAGTTAAATTTATGAATGATCAACATTATATACAAAATATTTAACTATATTCCCAACTTATGATATGATAAGCGACTATTTTTGTAACTTGAACAAAAAATTATAACTATATTTTTTATCCTCTCTTTCGACGGTTTTCTTTTTCTCCACTAAGAAGCTTGGAAAGAACAACACAAAAGTGCCACCCAACCCCAATGGCACCGAATAAATTATCAGTCGCCCTTGTTTATAAACGTTCGTGATTCAGAAGATTCCTTCTCGTTTCTGCACTTTTGCTTTCAATCATCGCAAACTCGATCAAGTTTACATTTAATGTATTGATAATTTTGATTGTAAATCTTAGTTACGATACCCTATAGAACTTTTTATCTTTCTAGATCTGGAAATTTGTTTCGCAATTATCTGTTTTTTCTTTCTCCTCATTAATTTTGCAAACCACATTAATGTTGTTTTTATGCGTTTAATTTGGGGTTGTGAAACATTGTGGCATCGATTGTTTTCTAAAGTTCGAGACTGATTCTAGTTTATCAATGGATCCGTCTTCGAGTGCGGATTTTGATTATTTGTTCAAGCTGTTGTTAATTGGGGATTCAGGAGTTGGTAAAAGTTCTCTTCTGTTGAGTTTCACTTCCGCAAATGCAATTGAAGATCTTTCTCCTACCATTGGTAAACCATTCGATCACATTTATTTACATGTAATTTCCTAAATTCGATCTGTTGCTTCCCACTGTTGATTTCGTAGGAACATGTTTCTCTGTATATAGCATAACATGATTTGACCAAATTATCATTTTGTATAACGTAAACTGCGAAGCTCAAAAGCTAAAATATTTACATGTCTCAATTTGGGTAACCATTAACAATATATAATTATGTGATCTTTCTTTTTCTTTATTCAAGAACTTCCCTTTCTGGATCATCTTGTTATCTTTATCATGTATCAATTCAAATTTTTCTGGATAATTTAAGTTAACCATAGATTATGATTGATATCATCTTATTATCTTTAACGCAACATGTTTCTTCTTTTCTCCTAAAGAATTGTGTTCAATTATTACAGGGGTTGATTTTAAGGTAAAATTTGTCACCATAGATGGGAAGAAGTTAAAGCTTGCTATATGGGATACTGGTAATTCTAAAAGTTTATTAATAACTTATTATTAAAATAAAATACAGTGAAAGTTATCTAAGGACTTATTACAGCTGGACAGGAAAGATTCAGAACTTTAACAAGTTCATATTACAGAGGAGCTCAAGGCGTTATAATGGGTATGTGATGAATTATATGTTTCTGCATACACTCATTATATATACAATGATTTTTCTATAAAGAACTCCATTTTGTTTATTTTGTGACATATACAAACAGTTTATGATGTAACACGTCGAGAAACATTTACAAATTTATCCGATATATGGGCCAAAGAAATTGATATGCACTCAACAAATCAAGATTGCATCAAGATGCTTGTTGGAAATAAAGTTGATAAGGTAAACTTTATACAATACAAAGTTATGCTTGTCATCTGTCATCTGTTATCTGTCAACTAAGTAGTTTTCCTTTGTAGGAAAGTGATAGGGTTGTCACAAAAAAAGAGGGAATCGAATTTGCAAGGGAATATGGATGCCTTTTTATAGAGTGTAGTGCAAAAACTCGGGTGAATGTGGAGTTGTGTTTTGAGGAGCTTGTTTTAAAGGTATGCCTAAAACTTATTATATCTAACTTAAGTGTGAATCATTATTGATGGAATAGTTTTTCTTTAATATTTAAATGAATAACTTTAAATGTGCAGATTATGGATACACCAAGTCTGATTGCTGAGGGATCAGCTGTTATGAAGAAAAACATATTCAGACAGAAGCCTCCTGTTTCAGATGCATCAACCAGTGGTTGTTGCTGAAGTTGATATGTGTTTCTTTCTGTTTTTTTAAATTTCTAGTACTTTTCATAATTGTGTAGCCATTAATTCGTTCATAAAGGAAGTGTATATTTCATCTTGATGGGTTGCTTGTTTTTGTTTCTATGTTTATTTGAAATATCATTTTAATGTTACATCGATTTGTCTTCTCCATATTATGAACGTGTGTATGTATATATTTTTTAACATCTAATAGCAATGTGCTCATGTTTACTTATCGGTAAATAGATGTAACATGCAATATTTCATACTTATTTTTTAATTTAAAAAGCAAACAAAAACACACGAGAGATAAAATCTATTTATTTGAACAATATAATCAGATATGAAAAATGTTAATATAAATCAAATACACCATAACATTTGAAACCCATTGAATTACATCACTTGAAAAAAAAATGCAGATTCCTTCTTCCTACCATGATCCTTCAGCACAAACTGTTGGATTCTGAGAAGCCCTAAAATTCCAAAAAGTCTTCAAAGAGTAAGGCTCAGAAATGAGCAACCCTTCATTTGTGATCTATGCTATCTGACAATGTAGTTTATTTTAACCCATAATAGCATTGTATTTACATTTCTTTATCAATAAATATGGGTAAAAAATAAAATACATTAGCCATATTTAAAGATTCATACCTGAATCTTGTTGACAACTGACCTATCACGATATAGAAGGTTGCGTATGCATTTTTCCAATAACTTGACACCCTACTCAAAACTCAAATCCTCCCTCCATTCTTCATGAAGAATTGGCCTTGCAAGATGATTACCAAAACTAGTAGCAACATGATTGTCTTCATAGTGTACACTAATCATGGTAACCTACACACAAGTAGTAAATATCATCAAAAGTATGTAGTCTCTCATTATAAACCACTTTCTATGGTTATTTTCGACAAGGATGTGGAGGACATTAACATCATTTTTCATAGACAATAGTGAATCATTGCCCGACCTATCCCACCTTTTTGGTTAGCAGAAAAAATTGTACATTTTGTCCCATAGACATTAGTTATAGCTTTTTGGCTAGAACAAAAAATTGTAACTTTTATCCTATTGACATTAGTTGCTACATAGTCTTTATCTCACCTTTTCTATTAGGAGAAAAAACGGTACATTTTGTTCCATAGACATCAGTGTCAGTCATAATCTCTATCCCACCTTTTTTTTAAGACAAAAAATTACAATTTTTATCTCATTCTTATTAGTTAGAGTCTCTCTCCCACCTTGTTCCACTCTTTTGGCTGGACAAAAAAGTGCAACTTTTGTCCTTTTGACACAAGTCTCAATCTCCACACCACCTTTTCAAATGGGACAAAAAAATTGCTATTAATATTAATCACAGTTTAAGTCCAATACATGTTAGAAGAAAAAACAATAAAAAAAGCATGGTTCATGAACTTACAGAGCCTATATACTTGTGTCTATTTTTTACTCCACCAATTACAAGAGAATTCTACAACGGGTCAAATTTGTTGCCACGATTGTACATAATCCGGGTCAAATAATTGTGGACCTCTTTAGCACTAAGTGAATTCCCATCATCCCACATATTGTCATGCAACCTGTATTCCAAAATAAATTATAACAAAATTAAAACTATATATATATATATATATATATATATATATATATATATATATATATATATATATATATATATATATATATATATACTTACATAAGCTCATCAAGCTAACGAAGAATCTCTTGGAAATCACTGATTTCTCCACTTGCACCAATGAGAGAATGTTTCCCCACTTGCTTCATTCTCTCCACACTCCTATAACGTATAGTAGAACCATAAGATCCTGTGAACTAGCAAAAGTCAATGAGATTAATAAAAAAAGTCAAAGTCGAATAAAATCGTGTATGAAACTCAAACCTTCCATGTCAGCAGCCATGAGAATACCATCTTTGTATTTGATCCCAATCACAGATGTACCTGTAAAATATGGATACCTGTTTCCGAAGAAAAAAACACAATCAATTTATAACATTATGTTGAAGTCATAAGTAAAACGTTATGTATTTTGCACTAAAAGATTAGAATAATGCAGTAGAGATATAGGAGTATACTGTATACATACTTAGTCCTCTGAGAATCTTCTTCAGAGCTCAATAGAGAGGTTTCATTTTGGGAAGAAACCATATCTGCAAACACTACACCAGTACAGACCATGAGAAAAACTATAGAAGGTAATGGTAAATAAAGAATATCGGAAATAAGTAACGTAATATCAAAGTAAAGGAAGTTAATCGATTGTGTGTAACGGAAAATCGAAAATCAAGAAGGTGAAACACGTAATCTGATTCCCAATTTAAAAATTAGAGGATGCATGACAGAAAAGTTTGAAGATCGATCGGCGTATAATTGATCAAGTATATCATATACAATGGGGATTCGAGTTGTGTAAAAATTAAAGGACACACGTCAGTCAATTTCCGCTCATATCTCGAGAAAGTTGCACGAGAACATGCAGAAATTCATAAACAATGATGAACGAAGCTATACTGAAGAATATATGAGCTACAATGAGGGATTCTAAGGGAGGGAAAGAGAGAGAGATACCTTGTGTTGCGTTACAATGGGGGATACGAGGTGTTGATCTGAGAAAACAAAATAAGAAGCATGCAAGTTTAATTCCTCTCCAAGAGAGGTATACGGGAGATCATGGCATGACACTTTTTCAAACACTTTTTTTTCAGTCTAATTATGCTCAATTTCCATGACCAAAAACATTTCACAATACATTTGGGGAAAAAAACGTATCGACTGAAAACTACTATTGTTTAACCATAACCAAAACAATAACCACTAGCTACATGATTAAGTTTCATAACAGTTTTCGAATAAAGTAACATAAGTTTGCAGCCATTACATCATAAAGGTTTTAAACAAGTACCCATTACAACAGAAGTATGATCAGTTTAAACCATCACTACACATTGCTTGACATTTCTTCAACCAATACCATGCATGAATCAAATCCTCTGGTATACCTATATCCATATATACTATCTAATCTCATATTCCAAATCATTCTTACTCATGCTTGCATGGCATGCATGTTATTATCCTATTTTTTGCAACTACAAGTCCAGAAGTCCTTTCCTTTATAAGGACAATATATAATGATCCATCCATAGATTAGTAGTAGTAGCCTATAGGCTATAGCCTATACTTATCCCTCATCAAACAAACAGTCTAGTGTACTGGGTTGCCTCCTTTTAAATGTTTTAAAAAAATTTAGTGGTTGTGGTACATTTATGCACAAAATAGAAAAACAATGTATTAGATGAAAGTGAGGATTTTTAAATCCTTAAAAAAATGATGTCTGATGAGTAGCTATACTCATTCTATCCAAAAATTAGACAAGTATGACAAAAAAATTATTGTGTTTCGAAATATAAAAGTAAATATATATTAGACTAGAGGGAGTGGTGCCACCGAAACCGCACTCCCTCCCCCGCCATATAAGCGCCGTGTCATTTTTAATCACAGAAATGCGGTTTCTTGCCACACATCAAGGGAGTGGCGCCACACTTTTATTTTATTTTTAGCTATTAAAATTAAAACTTCTTTTTTGATAAAAAAACATAATTTTTCATTACTTGAAAATTAAAAAAAAAATAACATTACATTGAAAATTCAAAAAACATTACATTGCATTAAAAAAAAAATCACATACATGACATTTAAATAATCCTAGAAACTTAAAAAACACAAATAAAATAACTAAAGCAAACTACATAAAATCGTTCTCCGAGAACTCGTCTTCAGGATCATCCGGTGGATCCAAATTAAGGTTAATGTTTTGAACCTCGTAAATTAAGGCACCACTCCCTTGCCACACAAGGAGTGGTGCCACACTTTTATTTTCTTTTTTTAGCTATTAAAATTAAAACTTCTTTTTTAATAAAAAAACATAATTTTTCATTACTTGAAAATAATAATAATAATAATAATAATAATAATAATAATAATAATAATAATAATAAAAGCATTACATTGAAAATTCAAAAAAGATTACATTGCATTACCAAAAAAAAAAAAAATCCTCATACATGACATTTAAATAATCCTAGAAACTTAAAAAACACAAATAAAATAACTAAAGCAAATTACATAAAGTCGTTCTCCGAGAACTCGTCTTCACGGTCATCCGGTGGATCCAAATTAAGGTTAATGTTTTGAACCCCGTAAATGTGTTCCACCAAGTCATTGCGAAGATTGTGAAATGTTTAAGTGCAACGTATCTATGCTCTTCTGTTCATATACTATTCGCCACCAATATCTATTGGTCGTGTCTCTGGTATGGTTTCTTCCTCGTCAAACGCACATATCGCTTTTCCTTCGTCTTCAATAATTATGTTATGCAATATGAGACATGTATACATGATTTCTTGAAGTTTTTCCTCGCCTAAATAAACTGTTGGTTTTTCAATATGAACCATCGTTTCTTCAAAGCTCAAAAAGCACGCTCAACATCCTTCCTAGCTCTTTCTTGAGCTCTCTTGAATTTCGTTCGTCTAGAACCATGTGGACATGTAAATGATTTAACAAACACAACATACTCAGGATAGATTCCATCGACCAGATAATAACCATACTTATATGGCGTTCCACGCACATCAAAAGAAGAATCTGGTGCGGATCCATCATATATGTTGTTAAATATAGGTGAATGATTAAGAACATTGATGTCGTTAATCGAACCAGAAGAACCAAAAAAAACATGTCAAATCCACATATCTTGTGATGCAACTGCTTCAAGTATGACCATTGGGTGACCATGATCAACTCGGGTAAATTGTCCATGAAAAGACGTAGGATAGTTTTCTCATATCCAATGGAGACAATTTAAGCTTCCTAGCATTTCAGGAAACCCATGCACACTAGCATGATGAGCTTGCAATTACAGGATGTCATTACGTGTAGGTTTACGTAAATATTTTGGACCATAAAACCGAATCACAGTTTTGCAGAAAAAGTAGAGACTGTCTCGTGCGATCCTAGCAGACATCCTAAAATTCTTACAATTATACCCGCCGTGGTATAATATTTTGAAATATTTTTACAATTATATTATTAGTTATACTATCTTTTTTCAAACGAAAAATCTAACATACTCATGTATTATAATACTGTCTAAAACATATTTTTTTCGGTATATAACACTAAACTATTACTAAAAAATTAATCACTTATTTTTTTCAATATATCACATTAAGCTGATACTCAAAATTTGTATTGGGTTATTTTTTTAATGGGTAATTAAGTATTTGTACTATTGGAAAATAAAAGGTTGGTTTTAAAAGTCCGGATTTATATTAATGTTTTTGCCAAACAAAATAAGTTATATCACTCAAAAAAATTTAGGTAGGTCACAAATAAATTTTATATATTACTTGTAACAAATTTTTGTAGGTGGGTCAAGTGAGCCATTTGACTATATATATATATATATATATATATATATATATATATATATATATATATATATATATATATATATATATATATATATATATATATATATATATATATATATATATACTTGTGAGTTGTGATTATACTAAATCATCAGGTGACACTAAAATCACCGATAGATTTGACAAATACAAATCATGTTACATAAGACTAATGTACAACTTTATTTATTCTTAGAGCTAATAATCACAATGATCCGATATGTTGAAAGTAATTAGATGCAAAACAAACGTGGTAGATGGGTTTAAACTTTAAAGTTGCTTACAACGTGCTAAATATTTTATTAAGGGTGCTGGTTTATCCACTGAAAACTTTTTATCCATCCACATAAAATATTTTGTAATGACAATTATACCCTTAATAGATATTCACGGAAATGGAAACGACCATCTATAAAATAGTTGAAATTGGAGCTTAATTTTGTAATGACAATTATACCCTTAATAGATATTCATACACGGAAATGGAAGCGACCATCTATAAAATAGTTGAAATTGGAGCTTGCTGCTAGTTGTGTGGGGTTGATTTGAAAGCTCTTCGCTGATTTGAGGGTTCTTTGTACTGAAGTTGCAATAGTTGTTGAATCTGTTTGAAGTTGAAAAGAACATTTATGTATATTACAGTGGCTGCACATAGAGGTTCAATTGTGCATTCTAGACCTTTGTCCCCAATTGAATTGCCAACTTCTGAAATTTCTAATCGATGCCGCCCAACCATCGACAACACTTCTGCAAGCACTCCAAATACTTCCATCTCTACAATGCGTCCATGGTCGATGATCAAGCATCCCCAGTAATTATCAATCAATCATCATCACTCCATCGTCCATCAACAATCGAGCCTAAAACTCCAGACATTGATCTTCCGATTACTCGATCTTCCAACATCGACCTTCAGGCTTAATAGAGATCACACAAGAAGCGCCGAAGGAGGATGAAGGGTTGTTGCGTCGTGCGTGGTTTGGGGTTTCCAGACTTGGGATTTTCTCTCTTGGTATCTAGAATTAGAATGAGGGTATAATTGTCAAATCCATTATTTTTCTGTGGACAAATTAAAATATAACGTGGATAAATCAGTTCCCTTTTATTAACCTACTTTAAAATTTATCCCTTTTCTCCTAAATATGTTGCTCAAACTTTCTAATTTTATCTCTTATAACATCTATACAAGTAATGAATTATTTACCTCATCCTGACACATCCGTTGTTATTTATTACATGTACTTATGCTTACCGTTTACTTCACATGAACCCATGCAATAACAGGACCAGGACCACTTCTTGAATACTCTATTTGTGGGGTGTTGATGTCGGGTGGGTGGGTCTGTGGGTCAAAAAGTGGGCTCTTAAGTCCAAACCCAGAACCAAAAATAACCCACCAAGCAACCCCATCGTCAAAAGCAAGTCATGGCCATTTCGAAAAGTTGTTAAAGACGCCACACAAGCAATAGTGAATCATTAGCACCACACATCAACCGTTAAAATACTGTTTCCCTCCCGCGAAAAAGCTTTCGGAAAATGAAAAAATATAGCCTTTTTCCCTTTTGATCTTTCTTTATTCGATGTTCAGAACTGGAAAGTCATGTCTTTTCCACTTGCTCCTATGCTCTCCCTCATCTTTTTTACACATTCTCTTCTGTAGATCATAATTGATCTGCC